GTCGCCAGAATGGGTTAACACTTGGGTTAATGGAATTTAGTTTTCACAGAGTGCAATATTTCCAAAAACTTTCTCAATATCTCTCCGTAGGTCATTCCTGTTCATATCTCTGAAAGTACGGCAGAGTTGACGCAATGTAAGTTCAGTCCTGTTCACAAACAGCCATTCAAACAGCTGTTTAGTGGGACTATTGAGCTCCCTCTGGTCAAAAACTCTGTACACATCACGAGAAATGTTGAAAGACTGTGCAAGGTCCTTCCAGTTTTGAAGTGCTGGGTTTTTCTTGTTTAGGCAAACATAAAATTTGTCCATACATTCTGAATCTAGATTGATCACATTTTTCAATAGCTTTCCATTATCACTGTCCCCTGCTAAAAAGAAAAAAATTACCTCAAGTTCACTGACCATAAAAGTACAATTTATCACAGAAAACTGTTAGAATAATTTAGTATTACCAGCTACTATTGGTTTTATTTAGTCTGCATGTGGCACATTAAAATAGCTGGTTTATTGTTTTCATTATTACAATGCAAATTGCCAGTATAAGATAAGAACAATGTTGAGGGGGTATTGGTGATGAAACCAGACCCATTACCTTCCCTCAATATCACCTTGTTTATCAATCCTTTCAGATTTACCATATTGTGACAAACATATCACCATGAGGCAATTTAAGAAAAGAGAAGTGACACATAAGGGGGTCAAGTTAAAAGGGATACTTGCGCCCTTAATTCTGTGGCCATGGAGACAGGTATGGCATATGCTTAGTCTCTTTCAATAGACAAATATTAAACTGTTATTATTCAGTCCATAGAGAGTTTTTCATGTTGAGAATTTAGTATGAGTTGCTGGAAGGGGTGTCCACGAAATTTTACTTTTACAAGTTAGAATTACCAGTAGCTGATACCAAATTGTTGTGAATTCTATGCCAATTACTCACTTCAGCTGAGCTGAATCATAGTCTACTGCCCTTGTGTTCACATTTACATGTTAATCTAAATCCTTATTCTACTGAGAAACCATTATACTTAAAACAAACAATCATATAACAACGTACTGTGGGTACACTTAAACTAAATGGCTTCCAAGAATTTAGTAAAAAGTGACTCCATGAATATTTGAAAAGCTTCTCTTGGTAATGACAATTACCTGCAGCCATATATATGAAAGTTACAATGAAAATAAACTTACCCTCAAGGAAAGGTTCTAAAATTTATACGACATCTAATCGTTTGAACTTTTGCCTTACTTTTTCAAAGAAAGTTCTCATAGTAAGATCTTCTTCGTTTACAAGGAGGTACTCCATCAAGCTCTTTGTTGGATTATATGGGGCACAAAATTCAATCACCTCCAGCTTTTCAAGCGAAATCTGAAATTGCGAGCCTAAATGCTTCCAATGAATTTTAATTCCTGATAATGTCTTATCATCCAGCTGAGTGATGATGCCCTCAAGCAAATCATGGTTAGAAGAAGAATCCTTGAAGTCTCTGAGTGATTCTGTAGAACTTTTAGCATCTGTGTCATAAAAAGAAGTATAGAAGTATAGAATGTAATTCTTTAAAAAAAAAATTTTTCAGACACAGATTGAGTGTTTTTGATCAACTAGGTTAAAGGTTCACAGTTAATTCACACCAAATAGCACAATTGAATGAAAAACTGACAATACTACGAGGCTGAAATAATTTAAGATTCCACAAATTAAAAGTCAATTAAGTCACAAATGAAGATTAAAGTTTCAGCTGGTGAACCTAAAACATAGGCATGCAGTCTTCAATTTTTAAGAAATTGCAAAAATCCTGAAATTAATTAAGTCCCACTGAAATTTATATAAGTAACAAAGGCAGGTTCATTTGTTGAACTCTTTGTTCTGATTGGCAATTTTTCACAACAGACAAATTCCAGTAGTTCAAAGCTCCTTCAGTCTTGGGAGTTTTAAAAATTAAATGCCCAGTGCAAGTAGCATGCACCTTCCCCATAATTTCTTACAAAAAAATTATTTGCCTGGGTATCTGTGTTAAATTTAACTACTACATGTTTGTCATCCTTAGCAGTACAAAAAAAAATTCTCCAAGAAACTGGACACAATAATTGCTAAACCAAGAAGCACCCCAGGAAAAGAAACTAATGTAAATTCCCTAGTAATTGTAGATGATTTATAATTATCTTTGTATTCAACAAGTCACACTAGCTTTATCCATCTACAGTTTGATTTTCAGAAAGGTATACATAGCCTAGCTGCTCTAGGTTTTTAAGTCAGGATATTAAATTTTGTGTGCCTAAGTTTTTTTTATATAAGATCAGAGTCTATAAGTTCACAGCTTTTAAGAAATTGCAAAAATTCTGAAATTTAAGTCCCCTAAAATAGGTAAAAAAATGAAAATGGTACACACAAGCATGATGACCACTGTAAATCAAAGCAAAAAGTAATAGTCTTCCACAACAGTAGGTTTAAGATACATGACAAATTTTTGTGGAACAATATATTATTACCATATTTCTCCAATAAATGGTTCCTCAGAATGAGCACCTCCATCAAACAAGCAACACAATTGGGACAGAGGGCTTAATAAGCACAGTGCCAGAACAAGCGCTGCAGTCACTGTGCAGGGCTTTTTCAAAGAATTCCCTCACAAGACACCACTAGTGATGCAACTGAACAGATCCAGATGAGACTAATGCTGACAATGTTGACAATCAATGGCACACCTCTGTTAGCATAGCTAGCAAACATGCCATTGATTTGAATGGGAACATACAAGCAGCCCTAAAATACATTCTGCCCATGAGTAAGCATCTCACTTGACGTATGAAAAAATTACATGTGCCCTAGCTAGGTCTCGTTTGAGAAAACGTGGCATATACAGTAGGGCATACATAGACAGGTAGTAACTGCATTAAATTTTGGATTCAGCTTATTGACTAGGTCAGAAATGATAATCAGATATTGAAACAGATCCAATTACATTAATTAGATTCTATACCCTATAATAGATGCAGAAAATAATTGCACATACCACAATGGACCTTTGTAATCATCCTCACAATATCATTTCTTCCTATACTCTTCAGGGCAGCAATCAAGTCTTTCACAGTAACAACTTCCTTATTCTCACGCACTGCCAAGACCTCCAAAAGCATTTCAGTGTGGCTGTAATTTGTGCTCAATTTACACTTGAGACGAACCAACTTGGGTGCCTCCATTGCACATGCCAGATGTTCCCAATTAGCAATACAAAGATTTGCTCTGTTATCAAGGGAACGCACTAACTTGTCATAAAGGACTTTGTATTGCGGGAGGACTAGTATCTCTGAAACTAATGAAGTACAGTAACATGACTGTTAAATTTCTACTGAGTTTGAAATTTGATAAAAAAGAAAAGTCTGAAAAAAAAGGCACAGCAAACCAAAAAGATGATTATAATTATAAGGTACCTCTTTCTAAAAAGTAAGACTTGATTGACTATACCCAAATTTTTTTCTTCTTGTTATAGAGGTGGCACCTTTTCTAAAGGATAGTGAGGTTTTGTAAAGCAATTTTTTTCAAATCACCTTTATTATGTTTGAATACAATCACTTACTACATACCAAGAAAATTTTCATGTCCATTGCCAGCTTCCACTTGTGTAGGTGTTCTAACCTGAGTGAGGTCTCCAATATCTGTGTTCTCTTCTTCCATAATTTGAGGTGCAACCGCTACTCTGGGACCAGTAGCAGTAACAAGTATTGCAGGAATACCAGCAGAAGTAGTGGCAACAGTGTCAGTGGTAATGGTAGTGGAGGCACTGGCACCTGTGATGGCAGTAGTGCCAACAGCAGTGACAGTCATGACAGCAGCAAGATCAGATGCAGCAGTCACAGTTAAAGTGGTAGGAGCAGTGACTGTTGTACTACTAGTAGCAACAGCAGAGACAGGAGTGGGGGTGGGTGCTGCAGTCACTGTGGCAGTAATAGCAGCAGCAGACACAGATGCAAGGGCTGGTGCTGCAGTCCCCATCATGGTGGAAGGGACAGTGTTAGGCATACTGCCAGCAGTAACAGACACCGGAGTGGAGCTAGGTGCAGTCGTGACAATAGCATTAGCAGACACAGAAGAAAGGGCTGGTACAGCAGCTACTATGGCAGTGGTTGGGACAGTAGTAGGTGTACTACAAGGAGCAGCAGCAGGGACAGGTGCAGGAGTCACAGTGACAGTGATATCAACAGCAGAGTCAAGAGCAAGGGCAGGTGCAACAGTCACAGAGGTAGTGGTTGTGGTGGTGACTGTAGCGGTGCTGGTACCAGGAGTAGGTGGAGAAGCAGGAGCAGTAGTGACAATAGTATTGCTGAAAGGTGCTTCATGACTAAGATGCACTGCCTCAAATGCTGAAAAAGATGCCATAAAAATTACCTGTAAAAGGGTGTTTATGTTAACACCCCCACCAAGCTGGGAGACTTTATAGTAGAAGGATGATTAAAAGCTTTTTCCTGCTTTCCAGTCTTTTCTAAGAATTTCACATAGAAAAAGGAAATGCTATACACATCTATAGTCTGCCAATTTAATTCTTGATGAGCTGTAGTCAATGTTTTGTAAGGCTGCTGGCTCACAAAATCTTTAAATTCTCAGAACTTTGCTCGCAGAAAAGACCAACTACGCTGGTTATTTACAAGACGTCTAACCCAAACCGCGGTTTAACACAGGCAATGGGCCTCAAGCATTCTCTGTAGGAGGGTTCATTTCATTACCGTAAAAACCCGCGGATAAGCCGCACTTTTTTTTTCCAAAAATCATCGCTAGAAATTGGGGTGCGGCTCAATTCTGTGGGAATATTTGAAAGAAGTGTCGAGAATGTTGACGCATCCGATCTAATACCTGGTTACTAAGCTTCGAATGTTCCGCTAACGTTCTTGTTGTAATGCAAAAATCTAAGGAAAACTGTGTTGAATTAAGAAATTCCTGTCAACAATTACCAGAAAAAGATCAATCTTATGTCAAAGTTGGTAGAAACAATGCCCATTATATTAAAGTGCTAAAATTGTGAGTAAGACTTTGAAGCATTTTCCGTTACAATGTTAATGGTGAGTTTACGTTCAATGAACAGTGGATGAAGGAGACTCCTCAAGACATGACTTTGGATTTCTTTGGATTTCTTTCAGAAGACATTTTTCCCAAAATTTGAGTTGCTAAATTCAAGGTGCGGCTGGTCTGCAGGTGCGGCTTATCCGCGGGTTTTACGGTAGATAAATGTCTTTCCACCATTAGCTTTCAACCCTCTTGACACCCTTCACAAATATATATATGTTGAGATAAAAGATTCTGGCGAAATTAAAATTTTTATAAATTACAGGCCAAAATTTCCCTAGAGGCTGAGGGGAACTGTAAGTTTCATCTTTGTGATAATTGCTTCTGACATTTCTTTTCTAGATCAAGAGGTGGACACCAAAACTCATCCCTAGCTCATTCCATCTTTAAATGCTTTTACCTCCAAAAACTCATAAATAATTATAATATTATTTCAATTGTGGTTTGATAAGTGGTGTGAAGGTGGTCAGATCTCCAACCTCCAACCATCACGAAAAAAACTCAAGAAGTGGACACCAAAGCTCATCCCTAGCTCATTCCGTCTTTAAATTCTTTTACCTCCAAAAACTCATAAATAATTATAATATTATTTCAATCATGGTTTGATAAGGGGTGTGAAGGTGTTCATATCTCCAACCATCATGAAAAAAACTGGACTGTGTCAGTTAGTTTTGCAGTATCTTTGATTTATTCTGTCCACCTTAATCTCTATATCCAAAAGTCACTGCAGCAGTATTTGAAGACTCGTTAAATCAATAGGCCGGTATCATTCACTCAGACACCTTCAAAACATTTAATTTTAAATTCAGATGAATTCATGAAATATAAACCTACTTACCTCCGTCTCCTGAGGAAGTTCCATTTAATATTTGGGGACCATCTTGGCTAGTATCTACAATATAACATAAATAACACAGATTATAATAACTTTGTGACATTGATGATAAAATTATACCATAATCTTCTAACAAAATAATTTCCTAAACTCAAATAAAGTGATGTTGCAAAAGACCCAAACAAGAAAGCGTTGGATAATTTGACATAAACGAAAGGTAATCGATCTGCATGTACATTACATTTATTTCAGACAATGTGATTGATCGAGAGTATATACGCATCGCACATGGTAGTAATTAGGCTGAGGGTGCGAAGAACGTATCAATGATTTCATACTGCCGGAACATACCTGTATAAGGGGGAGGGAAGAAGACAGGACTTAGAGATCTTGAACTGTCGTTGGTAAAATCAAGGCATCCATCCGCAATATACTTGTCAACTTGGTTTTCTTGACGCCTCAAGATCACACCGCCATACGGCTTACGGTTTATGTTGCGAGTGAGTTCGTTGTAGGTCGTGAAATTCTCGTTGTCTTCACTGATTTGGAAATATATCCTGTCCGAGTTTTGTTCAACTTTCCGCTGAATCCTCAGGTCTATCACATCGAAAGATTTATCCTTGTCTTCCACGAAAACACACAACAAATCGTTCGAATTCCTTTCATTCACGTTACCGTTGGTAACCCCAAATGGTCGATAAGTAAAAAGGCTCTCCTTGTTCGCAGGATATTTACCGGAAGGCGTTATGCGCATGAAAACCACGTTACAAGTGCGATGCACGTACTCCACATCTGCGATTCCTTGTAGTGGAACTGTTTTCAACTTTTTATGTAACTTTTGAAACTCCAAATAATAATATTCCAGGGAATCGCCGACATCGATGACTTGGATGGTCGTTATGAGGCAATAGGGGTAGCTAAGGTTGCAACTACGGGCTGGGTCAGGGATGATCAGATTCTTAACAAGGAAGCCACATCCTCGAGTCACAGCCCGCCTCTGACTGGTTTCTTTTCTTCTAATCCGACATACTCCCAACGACCATTGCTCTTCTTTTCTCCGATTATTGCGCGTATCCAAGTAGCAAGTGTGCCTTAGAGCAGTCATGATTGTCACTTCGGATCTGCTGATCGGCTTCCGCCCATAGCCGGAGTACTGACCACAATGCATTTCGTGTACGATCCTTCACAAGGAGGATGCGTTACCGTTATAGCACAGGCTTACCACCTTAAATATATATCTGTGGTTTCGGGTTTCTATGGTAATCGGTACCTGTGGCATTTAGAGCCGTTACGAATGTAGATCAAATATGTTGCCTCTAGAATCTGTCCCTAGTATTCAGTCTTCAAAAAGATCAGCTCCGAATAAAGATTAATAGTTCATTACTGGTTTGGAAGTGTTTTTTCTGACAGGAAGCCTCAAAATCGCTTGTTTGGGGCTTTCAAAGTTCGGCGGTTAATTCGGCTAGCTCTCAATAGTGAAGAAATGCGAGCCGAATTAACCGCCGAACTTTGAAATCCACATCAAGGAATCCACATCAAACCTACCTGTCAGACAAACTTGAAAGAATCCAAAGAAATGTCTCAAGCTGGATCCTTGCTGGACCTATTGATTATAACACAGGGTACCCATACAATGTGTTTGTGTAGCCGACCTTTGTTTTGTAGTGAATGTATGTACCAGATTTACCGTTTGCCTCACCTAGAGTGATATATTGCTGA